TTCCTCTATTATAAAACGAACAAAAAAGGAATATGGTTTCATGTTGTTAAGAAGATATTATGATCAAAGGAAAATTTGAAATTTAGTCTACTAAATGCCAGTCAGTGTTAAAGGAGGAAATGAAGTTAGGAAAGAATAGCCTTGCTTGAAAGCAGGTCCTTTAAATGGCTCCTGAGTAGCCAACATCTGCCTGCGGCAGGGTCCTTGCCTGCTGCTGCTGCCTCCGCTGCTCGCCTTGAGTTAGGGCTCTGACATTTTCACATGGACTACGAAATGACTAATAACACAGATGATGTTTTATTTTTATACATGATTCGATGGGGATGAGAGGAGCCAGCTGTTAGGTGTGTGTCGTGTGAGGCACTGCAGGATGTGACGGAAGCAGGAGTGAAGCATGTGTGTGTGTGTGTGTGTGTGTGTGTGTGTGTGGTGCAGTGAGCAGGAGGCCTGCTGACCCCCTTGTTTCTCTCCTTACTGCTGCTCTGGCTCTGGCAGGACTGGGAGGGCCACAGATTGCATCACCCAGCCCAGGCATCAGATGCTGTGGTGGGCGTACAGGGTAGGTGTGGGGTGGAGTGGTGGAACATCCAAGCTGTTCCCTGAGATCCACGCTCAGTGTGACTGGAGAGGGGTTCTGATGGTAGGGAAATGAGAGAAACTCATCCTAACCTGCGGCTTCTAAGAGTGTTGTCCTGGAGTAATACCGGTCAGCTGCCCCCCCAGTCACGTTACTCTCTCTCCTGCTCCACAGCTTTTCCAAGGTGTAGTTACTGTTACCTCACTCTAGTTTATTTATGTTACTCATCTCCTTTTATGTCCCCGCCCCCTGAGTTTGAATGAAAACTTTGGGGAGCTAGAATTTTGGGATTGGAATTTAGAGTTTCTGTTATCATAGATTCTCCTTTTTTCAAGGATGGGGAGTGTTTTTATTTGTTTTGAGATAGAGTCTTACTAAGTAGCTCAGGTTGGCTTTGAACTTGCTATGTAGCCTCAGGAAGGTTTTGGATTTCCAATCATCTTGCCTCAGCCTTCTCTGTGCTTTGATTATAAACATCTACATTTGTCTATTTTAATTTTGTGTGTATGGGTTTTTATTTGTTGTTGTTGTTTTTATTTTGTTTTGTTTTGCTGTAGTTTTACAGCCTGTCCTGGAACTACATCTTGTAGACTGGGCTGGCCTCAAATTCACAGAGATCCACCTGCCTCTGCCTCCTGAGCGCTGAGATTAAAGATGTGCGTTACCACTACCCAGCTGGTATATGTTTTACCTGCATGTGTATCTGTGTGAGGGTGTCTGATTCTCTGGAACTGGAGTAACAGACAGTTGTGAGCTGCTGTGTGGGTGCTGGGAATTGAACCCAGGTTCTCTGGAAGAGCAACCATTGCTCTTAGCCACTGAGTAGCCATCTCTCCAGCCCCCTTAATGACTTTTTACATACTGTGACATAACCTTTGAAGTTTGAGTTACTACTTGAATTATTCTCCTCATCCATACAATTTGAGGTTAAACAATTGGGGATGGTCTTTCTCTTTCACACTCACAGCTAAAGGAAGCACTCACAACTTCTGTGGCGGCATCTGAATTCAGCACCGCTGTTCCTCTGAGTTATGGTAAAAGTAAAAGAGTGGCTGCAGCGGGCAGCAGGCCACGAGGCGCTGTGGTGGTAAAACACTGAGGTTCCCCGAGTGGCCCATGGGCCACGAGGGGCAGCAGATCCCAGGCAGGGAGCTGTGTGGTGGGTGAGAGACCAAGACAGATAGGCATGCCATACAGAGTGAGGCTGGACATTTATTTAGTGGGTTATGGAAGGGGAGGGGAAAGGTGAGAAGGAGGAGGAGCAGAAGCAGAGAGACAGAGAGAGAGAGAGAGAGAGAGAGAGAGAGAGAGAGAGAGAGAGAGAGAGAAAGGGAGAAGTGGGGAGAAAGGAGTGAGGCAGAAACTGCCTATTCGGAAGGAAGCAGAAGATCAGCTTACCTTGGTGGACAGGGGAGGGAGTGGGCGAGGCTTGTCTTTTAAAGGGACAGGACAGACTATTATATTCCCATTCTTTTTATAATAAAAAGGCAAGAGATTAGGCACAACAGGTTAAAGGAATTGGTACCGCAGATTCTCAAGACTGCTTCCTGATTTTTGTGGGTGTCATCTTAGGGTGGTGGGGGAACTTGAGAAAATTGGGTGCTGGTCATCCTAGGGTAGCTGGTCTCTTTGCTTCTGTCTGGTGTTTGTGGTGTGGAACTGTCTGGTGTCTCTTACATCTGTTTAAGGTATTGGCAGTACAGAGGACAAAGTTAAGTTTAGAGAAAAAAATATTTAGGACCAGGGAATTGAGAGTGGTGAATCTGACCTGTTTAAGGTAGATTCTTTAATTCAGCTCCCTTGAACTCCCAAGAATTCCTTGGGTTTGTGAAAACATAAATTTTAGACATATGCATTTGTATAAACAGTAGCATATTTATGTCAGAATGACTGTGACAGATGTTTTTGCATAATGAAAAGTATCTTCAACACTATGGAAGGCAGCATGAGAGAGAAATTTGATTGACTTGTATTTGCCCTCACACCTTTATAATTTGTAGGTACATACCTTAATAACTTGTATTTGTGTTTTACTGAAATTTGTTTGGTGAGGCTATCCTTTTAAACTGACAAAACCTCTCAGCTGTCAAACTGCATCAGACATCTTGGAGAAGGATAAAATTTTACTTGAGTTATTGATTAAAAAATGACAGAGAACTTACTTGGTTGGCACCTAGAGCTAATCATCAGGGTACTCCATGGTTGCTGAGGGTCATATATATATTGCTGTTTAGCACAGGGCCTGCCAGGCTCCAGAAGATCCTGTGGGATAAGAAATCTGTAGGAAGACAAGCCTACCTTGACCTGAGCAGCTAGGCTTTCAATTCCAGTGATTCTATCCACTGTCTGGAGATCTTCAGTTTAGATGAAAGGCAGTTTTGCCCAATGGTCAGCCCTTGGCAGTTGAAGCGAATTGCGGATGGACTTTTTTGTGCCCATTTGTCTTTTATCTTCTTTGGAAGAAGTAGAGTGCTGCCGTTAGGAGCCAACCTGTCTCTTTTAGTTATGAAAAGTTTTTAATAATTAAATATTTAAATGCCATATTCTCCAAATCTCTGAGCAGTTGAGGGCTGTTTACTGGGTATGGATAAGTTATAAAAATCTGCCTGGATAGCTGGGTCCAAGCTTGACTGTACTGGCTCTCAACAGGTAAAGCAGGGTTGGATTAAAAGACTTAAAAGTACATACCAATTTAAACCATGAGACTTATTGCTTCGTAGTCTGGAATGAGATGCAGTGAACAGACCCCCACCCATCCACTCATCAGAGAGGGTGAGGAACCCTCCCCAGCAGTATCTTTGCTGTGCTGAATGGAGATGTGAGTGAAGCAGGGAAGTATATTGGTTGACACAGTGAGAAGTCATGAGAGTAGAGATTACTTGGCATATAAGTATATTCCGGAATTTTCTAAGACGTTACTTTGTCTTTGTGAAGGTCAGTCTTTGTGTCTGTATGTTTGGATCTTATTTTCTGCTTTATGTTCAATGAGTTTATGTGACCTCCAAAATAATTTCTCCAAGCCCTAAATATTTAATCATTTATTCATTTGCATATGTATATGGTATGTTTACATGTGTGTATGCATGTGGGCCCATATGTGTGTGTGGTATGTAGGCGTGAAGTTGACATTATATATCTTCTTTCATAGTTCTCAACTTTCTTTACTGAGTTAGGATCTCCTGGTAAACCCAGATAATAGTTCTCAACTTTCTTTACTGAGTCAGGGTCTCTTGGTAAATCCAGAGCTAACAATTCCCACTTGCTTAGCTAGAAGCTAACCCCAGGATTACCTGTCTCCACCTCCTGAGTGCTAGGACCACAGGCATCACCACGTCTGTTGGCTTTTATTTGGCTTCTGTGAATGCCAACTCTGCTCTTCATGCACGTATGACAAATGTTTTATCTACTGAGCCAGTTCCCAGCTCCTGTCTTTCTCTTCAAAATGTGGTGGTCACCCTTTGGCCCTTAAACAGCATAGTTGAGAATGTCTGAATGACTGTTGACAGATTCAGTTGAATAATCCTTGGGTCGTCTCGTGTTAGAGACCGTTTAATTATGGGTTTGATTTTCTGTTTTTTTCCCATTATTTATTGTGTTTGTGGTGTGTGTGTGTGTGTGTGTGTGTGTGTGTGCAAGCCATGATGCATGTGTGGAGGACTGAAGACAATTACAGCAGTCATCTCTCTCCTTCTGCCGGCCAGATTCCAGGATTAAACTCATGTCATCAGACTTGATGACAAACAAGGACCCATTGAACCATCTTGTCGGCCTGGATGTGACTTTGATAATACTCGTAGCTATGTGGGAAGCAGATATTTTCCTGTGTATAGGAAAGAATGTGGCAAGCGTAGCAGCTGATGAATACGAATTATGCTAATAACAGATCAAGAAGAAATTATTTTTAGTCTTTTGAAGGCTGGTCAGTTTTGCTGGTAGAAAGGTAGGTTGAAGAACTATGTGAGAAAGCCTTAGCAGGAAGTCCCGGGTGTTTGGGATGAGCAGTGCTTCTGTGACTAGGACAGGGAGTGCCAGGACCAGAGGGCTGGTGCAGAGTCCATGTGAAGACAGGCTGGTGCCAGCGCATGGGCTGGATTTCGGATTTGGACTGTGACAGTGGGACGCCTTAGCAAGTTTCCTGCTGGTACTTAGCTCATGCTGTAAACATGCGCCTTTCAAAACTAAGGTTTATAATGATACTGAAAAACACGAGGCAGAGATACTGAGATAGGCCGCTCAGGAATTGAATTAAAAGATTTTAAAAAGTAGCGTGTTCATATCACAGAAGTCTGGAAGTCACAGCATGGTTATTTTATCTTATTGTTGTGTTTTAGGTGCCTATTTGTATTTATTCTAATGAGAGGAGAAAAAAAGGATGTGGTTTTGGGTGGGTGAGGAAGATCTGGGAGGAGTTGGGGGAGGAGAACCATAATTAGAATAAATTATATGAAAAAAATCTATTTTCAGTAGTAAATAGCAGCTCAAACATCAGGGTTCTTGGGTAGCTTCCTGCAAATTTTTTTTGAAGGTTGCCATTGCAGTCAGTAGCAAAGGAGAAGAGAAAGGGAATGTTCCCTGTGGTTGGTTGTGTTGTTTTAGGGAGGAAGACCTGGCCTTTCTAGCTTCACTGACTATGACTGATTTTTATGACCATCTCTTAGCTGCAAGAGAGACTAGGCCAGTATGGAATTCAATGTTTTCCCGAGGTAAGTTCTGTATGAAAAGGAGGAGGTGGGAGTAGGGGCTGTGGTGGTTGGAATGAGAAAGCCCATAGGTTCCTATATTTGAATGCTTGGTTACCAGTTGATGGAACTGTTTGGGAAGGATTAGAAGGAGCTCTGCCATTGGGATTGGATTTTGAGGTTTTAAGAGCCCATGTTTTTCTCAGTTCGCTTACTCCGGTTCTCTTGCCACCATTCCCTCCTCATGTTGTGAACCAATGTGTAAGCTCTCAGCTACTTCTCAGGATCATGCCTGCCTGCCTGCTGCCGTGCGCCCCATCATGGTTGTCACAGATTCTAACCCTTTGGAATCATGAGCCCCAAATTAATTGCTTCCTTATAAGTTCCCTCAGCCTTGGTGTTTTATCAAGGCAGTAGAACAGTAACTAAGACCCAGGGACTTTGGATCTAAAGGTGACCTCGAATGGTCATATCTTGCTAGGTGATCTGTGTAGGAAAAAGGTATTGAAGATTATTTTATGTTTTAGAAGTGAATGGAAAGATCCTAATGCCACTTACTAAATGAATTCCAGTGGGAGGTTGAATTGGATCCTTCCTCTCGTACTTCAACTACTGCTCACTCAAGTCTAAATGTTTTTTTTAGGACCTTATAGCCTCTGTTTCAATCCACTGAACCGAACAGAAAATGGAGGAGTCAGGTGGAGTTAGTTTTTAAATACTACTTCCATGACCAGCCCTGCTTGCTGCATTAAGAATCACCTGGGAGCTTGTTAAATAAATCAGACTCTTTGGGAATTGGTATTTTTAGGTTTGGGACATGGCCATCAATTTTGTTAACAAGGTCCCTAGTGATTCTGACACAGCTAGCTGCTTCTGGATACTATTGGTAGGAAAATGATAGCTTTTAGATTCTGATAAACCCAAATTCATTATGCCAGCTTTTCACTTATTAGCTGTATGAACTTGGGCTGGCAGCTTGACTTTGCAGAACTCTGGTTCCTCATCTTGGAAATGAGCAGAAATAATAATGAAAACAACAGAATATAGCTACTCTACTGAGTCCTACGAAATAGAGATATTATATATTTGATACTACTGGTATGATGTCTAGAGCTAGTAGTGTGGTTCAATAAATGGTTGTTTTGCATATTAGCTTCTAAATATTTTGCATTTGGTTTAATATAGAAACATTTTATTCTGCACAAAATAATAAGTAGTGGCATAGTATAACTGCTTCTCTTGTGACTTAGTATCTGTTATAACCAACAGCTGATTTCCTATTGTCCTAGCCAAACATTTTTGGGCTTCAGATTATGAGTTTTTATTTCCTCAACTATATATTTTTACTGCCTCTGTTCCATGTAATCTATATAAGTATGTACCTTAAAACTGGCTAATATAATAAAATTCTCTAACCCCAGTTTCTATAAAATGTGTTACTTATTATTTAATAGGGATTATTTTCACAGCAGTCTCAAAGCTTTAAGGTAGGCATGGTTCTTGCTCTTAAAATGGAAAGTATCAATTTCGATAAAAGTAGTATATGGACTTTAAGGATCATTCTGCTGTTTTCCAAGTTTGCGTTATATATTTTCTGAGTTAGTAATTGGGATGTTATTTTGGATGGCAGTTTTGTGTGGTAAATAACCACATGCTGACAGTGAATATCTGTTTCCCAGTTCATAAAGAAGTCTGAGTTAAAGGGAGAAGTGCAGTAATACCAAGTCTGTCCTTTGTTTGCGAGGACTTTGCTGTGATTTGTCTCTAGAGAGAAGCAGCATGCTGTGGTGGCTTCCTGCAGACTTGGAAAGTGGAAAGTGTGCCGCTTGGACTCTACCCTGTTGACAGAGATTTCTGTCCCACCTGGTCCATTCAGTCCCCCAAACACACAGAGGCCTACATTAATTATAAACTAATTTTATAGTTAATTGGCCTATTAACTCAGGCTTCTTACTAACTAATTCTTACATCTTACATTAACCCATAATTCTTGTTTTTATCAGCCATGTGACTTGGTACCTTTTATCAATGAGGCATTCTTATCTTGCTTCCTCTGCATCTGGATGACTACTGAAGACAGAGACTTTCCTCTTCCCAGAATTCTCCTGTACTCATCATCCCACCTCTATTTCCTGCCTGTGGTTGCCCTGTCTATACTTCCTGCCTGCCTACTACTGGCCAATCAGCGTTTTATTAAAATACAAGTGACAAATCTTTACAAAGCACAAGACCATTGTCCCACAGCACTACCCTTTCCTTCCAACAGCTGCCTACCTTGCCACATTACCAGCCTGTGTGTGGCTTGATTTCTTTAGACTTTGTGTGCATTCAGATCATAGAATTTTTATCTGAATTAGAATCTGATGAATTGACATGCAAACTACTGCCATTGCTTTTGGTTGACCATTAGAACTTAATGATAAGACCCTATTGTTGTCAGGCGGGTAGCACTCAGGAGGTAGAGGCAGGAGGATCTCTGTGAGTTCAAGGCCAGCCAAGGCTACACAGAGAAACCCTGTCTTGAAAAACCAAAAAAAAAAAAAAAAAAAAAAAAAAAAAAAAAAAAAAAAAAAAGAAAAAGAAAACAAAACAGAACAGAACAAAAAAAAAAAACCCTATCATTGAAGACACACAGACTTTGGTCATAACATATGAAATATAACATAAGAAATCAACTCTGTGCTAGCCAGGAATCCTCTTTCCTCATGTGGCTTTAATAATACTGGATGTAGGCTGCTATGTAGGCTACTGGAGTAAAAAATGTAATCAACAGATTTACCCAGATGTGACCTACAATACATTGAGCAGCATGGCAAGATATGCCCATGAGTGCAATAGTGGCATGGATGTTATGGACCTAACCAACCACTTTATGATTTGATTTAAGGCCCATTTCACAGAAAGAAACATGTATCTTGTACTTTAATTCTGGCTGAGAACCTATGTTTGGGAATTTCATAGGTCCCGGGGTGAGCATACTACTGTTATTCTGATAAATGAATATCATATCAAACTGCCAAACTGCCCTCTCATATCTCCGTGCCACAGGTTAGTGTGGCCCTCAGGTTTTTTGGCTGATAGTTAAAGCATTAACAATTGATCAAACTGCAGAGTGTCTGTGAAGTGCTTAGCCACCAATGGGGTGTCTAGATTTCCTCCACCCCAAAGCTCAGGAGCCACCATGGAAGAGCACTATGGGAAATTGTAAGAACTGGAGATGGGGAGGGCTAGAGGGAAACCGCCTCTTAGACAGTACAGACAGCTGTGCTTACAGGAGCTTGTAGCAGCTGTAGTTGCTTGCACTAGCTATTGAACATTCTAGAGGTGGGGTGGCTCACAAGCCCCCACTCCTAACTGAGGAGCTATTGACAGTTAATGGCCTCTGCAGGAGAAAGAGTCAGTTTTTTTTTTTTTTAAATTAGATGGCCCTACATCCTTTGAGTTGTGTGGGGGTGGCTATTACAAACAAAGGGGGGACAAGCCCACTCAATGCCAGGCTGGTGGAAGAGAGCCACAGGCCTGCTTGGTGGCCCAGGGCCAGGGTTGGGGGGTGGGCACCACTGCGATGAGCAGGGGGAATCCATGCACTGTGGGGAGAGGCAGAACTGAAGTCCTGCACCACCACCAGGGCTACGGTGACATAGAGGGTCTGTGTTACCATGGAAAGCCGTGAGGATTGTCCCTGGTTTGGGCCACCACCTGAGGCCATGTTATCTTTGGGGCCATATCAGTCTAAGAGGCCTGTACATACAGGGCTGTAGCGGCGTAAATGAAGGCAGACAGAAATTATAATAATATATTCAGCTTTAATTGGGAAAAGACTTACAGAACCCGAGGTTCCAGCGGAGAACAGGAAAGCAGAAGGGAAGGGGGAGGGCACACCAGCAATATTTATTAGTAAAAAATATCCTCAGGCGACCCCGCCCTACAAGCAAGGTGATTGGCTGGGGCTACCCCTACACAGGGCTTTGGTAATGTCCGCACCTGAACTGTGGCAGAGGACCATGTCTGGGTCTGTGCTCCTATTGCGACTCGAGTCTGTGTTTTTGTCTGTGACCTGTGTTACCATGGAGATAGGAGTATGGGAGAGCTGGCCCTGATGGTGTGGACCTTGGAGAGCTGGTACCACCTCTTGCTGGCCCTTCAGCCAGAGAATTCTCCTCCCCACTTCCCCAACCACCCCCAATGGCATGGACCTGGGAGAACTGGCTCAGAGCCCACCCTCGAAGGTCCTGGGAGATCTGTTCCTCTCGTTTCCCCCTCTTCCTCCCCCCTTGCTAGCTGCCAAAAGAGAGCTGGCCCTGATGCCATGGGCACAGAAGAGCCTGAGGGGGCAGTCCCCGTGGAGGCCCAGACTGACCAAATCAACTAACGCCTAGTCCTACGTCCAGGTTTTAGAGTTGTCCCACACCAGTATCTACCCAATGTACAACCCGCGGGAGCTTGTGAAGGCCCGGTCTTGTGGAACCACAGCTGCAGTACCTCCACGACTCAGCACAACAGCAGATTATCAGAGAGTAGCTTCGGTCAGGGTCCAGCATTGATGGTGTATCGGAAGCCAGAGGCCTTGAGCCAGACCAACAGTTCATTGCAGTGACCATTCCCAAGTAGATGTTTGGGCAAGACAGTGTACACTGGAACACACCGCTGGGACACACCGCAGCTACCAAGGCCACTGCGACAGATAAATATGCAGTGGAGAAGGGGGAAAGATGAGGAACCAAGTAGGTTTTTTCCCCTTTAAATTTATTTATTTATTTTTATTTTATTTTGGAGTGGAAGGTAGACATGGAAGGCTGGGAAATGAGTGGGATTGGGGTGCATGCTGTGAAATTTCCAAAGAATCAAGAAAAGAATTGTGTTGATTAAAAAAGGGTGGGGGGGGGGGGGGGGGGGGGGGGGGGGGGGGGGGGTATGGGAAGGTGGGAAGGTGGATCAGGGAGGAGTTAGGGAGGAAATGATCATAATACATTGCTTGAAAGCCCCCAGGAATTAATAAAATTATTTTAAAATAAATGAGCATATGTAAAGTGTTTAGGAAGTATGTGACACATACTATGCTATAATGATATAATTGTTAGTTATCTTGAGACAGGGTCTCACTCTATAGCGCTGGCTGGTCAGGAGCTCACTGTATAGAACACGCTGGCTTCAAACCCTTCTGAATCTGAGTTCCAAGTGGTGGGATTAAAGGCAGGCACTACCACCCCCTGCCTTAGCTCCTTTTTTGAGGTTCAGAAATTCACACAGTTTCATAATCATCATAAAAACCGAATAAAGCTGTGTTCTTGTTTGTGTCTGAAAACACCTCACTGTTTAAATTAGAATATGTTCTTTCTATGCGATGCTTCTTTTTCTTTTCTTCTCTTTGCTTTCTAAAAGTTATTTAATTGTGTGTGTGTGTGTGTGTGTGCGCGTGCACGCGTGTGTATGTATGTGTACACGCGGATTTCAGAGGACAGCTTGCAGGAATTGGTTCTTCCCTTGTGTGGCCTCTGGGAATGATCTTGGCAGCAAGCACCTTTACTAATGAGCCATTTCCCCGGCCTTAGAATGCATTGCTAATTTTTGTCTTGTGAATTAGGAAACTTAGCAGCTCCGCTGTCAGCTTTAACACAAGTTCAAGTCTGTTCTTCATGTTTTCCATGATGCTTTTAAGATGTTTAAAAAGTAACCTAGAAGCCGGGCGGTGGTGGCGCACGCCTTTAATCCCAGCACTCGGGAGGCAGAGGCAGGCGGATCTCTATGAGTTCAAGGCCAGCCTGGTCTACAAGAGCTAGTTCCAGGACAGGAACCAAAAGCTACAGAGAAACTCTGTCTCAGAAAGAAAAAAATACATAATAAATAGACAATTAAATATTAAGTTCCAACTTATAGCCAGTCTTGTGAGGAAATTTTCCTCACTTGTTCCTCCTCCCTGAGGTCTTGGATCACTGCACTTCACACTGGCCTAATAGGGAAATGTATGACTGTCTCTAGGAGTACTTTAGAGATGGGAGCAGCAGGGGGCTTTCCCCAGTGTTCTCCACACTCAGTGGGAAGCATTCTGCGACTTGCAGCAGTGACTTTGTTTTGAATGGCTTTAAGAAGCTATTGGATGGTTCTTCCTGCTTGGTACCTTTGGCCCTTCTTTTAAATCTTTTAAGTTTCTTTTGATAAAATGCAGCTTTCTGCAATAATTGATTCTCTTCCTTTGCTCCAGGAAGCTGCTGAGTTGGCTTTTGAGTTAGAGAAATTACCCGAGATTTACATTTAATATATTCTTTGTTGGCTTAACTACCTGTGGGTGGCAACACTGTGAGCTGGCCTTTGGATTTTCATTAGCTGACCCTAGTACAAACTTACCTGAATTTTTCTCAAAAAGCAATTTCTCCTTTTAATTGTTCTTACTTCCTAGGTGGTTCTTACCAATTCATTTTT